CTGCTGACGCACAGATTTTTTTCAATATTGTTGTTCAGTGGCTAAGTCGTGTCTGACTCTTTGTGACCCCATGGACCTCAGCATGCCAGGCTTCCCTGTCCTTCACCATCTCCCAGAATTTGCTCATACTCATGTCCATTGAGTCGGTGATGCCATCCAACCATCTCATCCTCTGTCACCTCCTGCCCGAAATCTTTCCCAGCATCAGGGTCTTCTCCAATGCATCGACTCTTGGCATCAGGTGGTCTGATACTGTTTTTTCCAAACAGTAACTGTATTTACCCTTTATGGACCTTTAAACTTACGAAGTGTGGGGAAACGCTTGTGTTTGATTAGAGACCATGACATGTGGGATCAGAAGAGGAGGGTGGGCCCTGCTTCCCCCGGGGCTGCTTCAGCTCCTGCCCCGGGCGAGTCCTTCACTGTTTTGGGGGCAGAGAGAGCAGTAGGTGAATTTCCTACAATGTGGGGCAGCACCCAAACCCCTGCATTGTTCAAGGGCCAACTATCTTTGCTCTATTTTTGATATATCAAAAAAGTGATTTTTCCCATTTTCAACAACTGCATAGGAGCTGGCTTGTACCATTCATGCTTCTAAAATGTGCTCTTCGCTAACGTTTAACAGGCATGGTTCCTGTGTCTTCCCTGGCTGAGAATGTGGCCCAGGTAAGAACAAGAAGGCTCCCCACGTGTGAGTCTTCGCAGGTAATGTTTGATCTGATCCATTCCAGCCTCACAGCAGTGGCCCCCATGGGCTATACAGGTCCCCAGCCCTGTATTATCATACTCTCTGCTGGTGCAGATGCAAGAGCAGAACCTCAGCGTGTCCAGCACCCAGGCAGGTGTCCCCCTGGGTGTGGACACCCGCTCCTTTCACGGTGGGGACCCCACCCTCCCCCCGCCTCTTTCTCCACCCAGACTAGTTCTTGCTTGGGGTGCCTTTGAGCTCCACTATCCTATGGAATGACACTTTTAACACAGGACCAGATTTGCCATCAGCGCCCGGCCCCCAGGGCAGGATGTTCCCAGGAAGCCAACGGCACCTTCCTCGGGGGCACTGTGCCCCATCCGGCCTCTCGGGTACCTGGTTCAGTGACTGACCTGTCATCATCTTGGTTATCAAGTTGCAGCCAGAGAAGTCAGCCCTGGAAGTGAATCTGTTCTCCATTGATGAGATCTCTGCATGGGGAGATGCTAGATAGGATACACATAATACCACCATGGTGCCCCAAAGAATTACCAGGAAACTGAGCTTTTTCTCAGATTTTCTCAGATGAAAATCCCTCCTGAGTCTACAGGACAGCACACGGGCCCTCAAAGGCTGCAGTCTCTCGTGCGTTCCCCTCCCCCTACTCACAAGACAGCCCCGCGGGGAGGGACGACTCCGTGTGGACACTCCGCGGAGGCCCCGGAGCAGTTAGCGAGGGCCATCCTCCATGGCCGCGGGCAGCGGCTCCTCATGCTGCCACGTCCACCGCAGCGCCCTCTCCACGACCCAAAAACCCAGACAGATTTTGACCTCTTTACACACTCAATGCTTCCTGAAATCATCCGTTCTAGCAAAGCACCTGCAAGAGGGCTTCAGGTGCGGGTTCATTCTGACAAACATGCAAAGACTGGTCAGAGCTGGTCCAGGAAGACACTGGTCTCGTCAACCAGCCTGCACGTCCCAGGACAGACGGCAGGACATAAACTGAGAGCACAGCGGTGTAGACCTTCGCCCACACTCTTTGGTCACTATTAAATGCTATCACCATCCAATTATTTTAGGACGGCTGCCCAGGATACAGTTTATTATTGTTGCTTTTTCCCTTTATTTTTAATCGTAGAATAGTGTTAATTGCTCAGTTGTGTCTCACTCTTTGCGACCCCAAGGACTGTAGCCCACCAGGCTCCTCTGTCCATGGGATTTCCCAGGCAAGAATACTCGAGTGGGTAGTCATTTCCTTCTCCAGGGGATCTTCCCAACCCAGGGATCAAACCCGGGTCTCCTGCATTGCAGGCAGATTCCTTACAGTCTGAGCCACCAGGGGAGCCCAATCATAGAATAATGAACATGAAATTTACCATTTTTAAGCACACAGTTCAACGTCGTTGTGCTTAAATCACCACCACCCACCCCCAAAACTTTTGTCCTCTTTCACATTAAACCCTAACTCAAAGATCTAAGTATAAGAACTAAAACTATAAAGTCTTGGGAGAAAACATAGGGGAAAAGCATCTTGGGACTGGATTCTCACAGGTCCTTCCCCGAGCGTCTCCTTACGACTATGTGACATTCTCATCAGCAAATCAATACAGAGGGAGCTTTCATCACCCTTCGCTGGCAGGTAACACAGGCTGGATGCAGAGAAGGCAGGACCATGCTATGCACGGGACCGGGTCACCTGAACATACCACATTCAAGCTGTATCTGAGGACGAGGCATGGGAGGGAGGACTTGGCATCAAGAAGGACAGCCTCTTAGAGCAGAAGCTCTTTCGGGGCGACGAGCGGGACGCTCGGGCTCCTGGGGCTGCAGGAGAGGAACCACCCTCGGAGCGGCCTCCTGGGCCACGAGGGAGGTTCTGTGTGTGTGTGTGTGTGAGTATGTGTGTGTATACATGTGTGTGTCTGTGTGTGCATGTGTCTGTGTGTCTGTATCTGTGTGTGTATCTGTGTGTGTATCTGTGTGTGTGTCTGTGTGTGTGTGAGTGTGTGTGTCTGTGTGTGTGTGAGTGTAAAATTACATGTAACTGCAATATTACACCGTATGTGCATGAATAACTACATCACTCAACTATATACTATCCATTTACAGACTTGCGGGCGGTCCGCCATTGCATGCACCACACTCCCCAGTCACCCAGAGGGGCCTCTGGGCCCAGGGCACCCACCTTGCTCTCTGGGGTCGCAGCCTGAACTTGTGCTAACACCCTAGTGTGCCATGGCCACAGGGCAGCCTGTCTGGGGTCATGGATCGTCCTCTGTGGACCTGGCCATCAGCTCAGGTCTGCTGGCTGTGTTCTGGGTCTGCCTGCAAGTTATCACCACCTGCCGGAGGATGGTTGAAAACGTGGAATCTCAGCTCTGGTGGGAATACGAGCAATAACCTCCTCAAAACTCACGTCATTAATGAGAAATCAAATGCTCTGCCTGACGTCACAGCTCAGGCTCAGAACAGAGCTGGCGTGGCTGCCCTCTGCCCCTGGGCCGTGAGTAAGTCCAGGGGCTCATCGCCACAGGCCTTGGACATGATGCCAGACTACACAAGAGAATCATTTGGAAGGACTCAGACAGCAGAGTTGCAATGACAACAGCAGCAATAATAATAATAAAAGTGGTTTGTGATTTGGGGAAGATCAGATTAAGACTCAAAGCCCTCACCTCCCTGATTCCCTCTCCACCATGAGACCAGGATCAGAGAGCCTGGCCAAGGTCTCCAAGTAGTAGATTTGGGGTTCGACCTCAAGGTTTCCAAGTTTGTCACCAGGCACTTCGGAGGTTCCCCTGAGAGAGGACAAGGCCAGGGAGCCTCCCAGTGTCCCTGCGGTCGCCCCAGAGAGACTGGTCCTCTCACCCCCACAAGCAACCTTTGCATAGTGAGACGTGCTGATCAGATCAACCCGGATAGAAGGTGATTTGTGGGCTTTGTGGGCTCACACTGGAGACCCTGGAGCCTCCCCAGAAAGTGGCCAGCTCTGGACTCAGCGGGGTCCTGCCCAGGAAGCCATCCAGATGGCTCCCGCTTCCAGCCCCAGAAAGGCAGACGTGATACGAGGACCCCGTCTCTGGGGATGGCGTGATAAAGGGGCTTCCCTCACAGACGAGAGGAAGGAAAACCACCGTTTCCCAGCTGGGATGAGAGTGAGGGAAAGCTCACACGACTGAAAAGCAACACTGTCTGTTGTAAAGAAGCTTGGCCAAAATCACATAAATGACGTGACACTATGTACTGTGCTGACTCTGATGCACCCACAGCATGCACCCACCCAAAGCCAAGGCCACGGTGCCACCGTCCTCTGGGCGTGGCACTGAGAAGGGAGGAAGGTCAAATGAGCGGAGTGTGCTGGGGTCTCCTCCGGAGAAGGGGTGGTGGGCATGCGCTGCTCACACCGCAGTCAGGCCAGGTCAAATGAGCGGAGTGTGCTGGGGTCTCCTCCGGAGAAGGGGTGGTGGGCATGTGCTGCTCACACCGCAGCCAGGCCCACGTGCGCAGGAGGCGTCCAGTGGCTCCTTCACTTAACTCTTCCACCAGCCGAAGACAAACTTCCCACAACTCGGCTTCTGAAACCTTTCTACAAGAAAGCAGGTGCCTGTGGGTTGGACTGCTGTGGTCTCCTGACAGCTTTATAGCCTAAGTGAGCAGATTAGCATGCGTGCTCATACATTAGCCTCTGGAGAATCTTACCACCTTCAACTGTGTTAGCTGAAATCATCGCCTGGAGGGAACCAGCTCTGGAGAAAGCGGAAGTGCTGAGTTTCCGGAGAAGGATGTGGGTCCACAGGACTGTACTTGCCCAAACTCTGGAGCCTGAAGACTGTCTACTCCAGAGTCTCCCACAAGCCAGCCCCGAGCAGATGGCCCCCTCCTTCGTCTGAGTCCACAGAGCAGCCCCCGGGAACCAAGGGGCTTCCAGTCGTGTAGGCTTCTGCAGGGTAAGCTGAAAGGATGAAAGAAAAGGAAGATACAGCACTGCAAATGCTGCGAAGATCTGACGTATCAACCACAAGATGCAGTTTCAGTTACACAGATGGGATTCCATAGGAAAACCTTAACAAGGAAAAAGTCTGAAGCCACCTTCAAGAACCATCTCTCCCCCTTATGGGAACTGATAAAACACCCTGTGCCCTGAGGAGTTCTTTCTGTCCATGCTGAAGGACACAGTGCCCACTGGCTTCAGGTTTGGGTGTCCCCTGCTTGTATTCCCGCGTGTCACACACATTCTTCTATGTGAGGCACACACACTTATGAGCCAGGAGCCTGGACCACCCCCCAACAAGGCCACTGACCACTCGAGTCACCCATGCATCACCGACGTCCCACTGATCCTCAGGCACCTCACAGACAGGCTGATTGGTGGTCTAAGGACCCTCCCCTCCATAGAGACTGCGATGCTGAAATCAAAGGACTCTGCACACAGACCCCAGGTGAGGGCTGTGCCTGGGGAGTCAGAGGGGTTGGAGGGTGAGGCCCCAGTGCGGACGTGAGCAGGACGCTGGAAGGACCTCGCTGTCTGGAAGGCCACCCGCCACCACACCCAGCAGAGGACAGCAGAATCACGGGCCGTGTCACATTCTGAGGACTCAGGCCGAACGTGAACGCCCCGGAGCCTCTCTCCTTCCTCAGAGGCTCCCAACCCGTCAATAATCGGCAGAGACAGCCTCACAGCGGTTTCAGCGCCTCTTCGCCAAAGTTGCTGAGCATCACAGTAGGGACGGAAGCGGGAGGTGCAGGCCTGCCCTCCCTCCCCAACACCTGAGAGCAACCACCTGCACCAGAACCACGCGTCGGCTCAGCCCTGAGGAGCTGGTTCCCTTTCCACCCCTGCTGCAAGAAACTGCTCCTGGATGAAAGGCTGAAACTCACACAGGTGTCCTCTTACCACTCTGGAGGCCAGAGTGCAAAGAGCCCCAACATGCTAGATCCAAGGGGTCCACAGGGCAGCCCCTCCCAGGGGCTCCGGGGAGATGTTCTGGTCCCGGCCTTCTCAGCATCCGTGGCTCCCAGACCCGCGTCACAGGGACCCTGCCCCACCCCTGCAGCCCCTCACACCATTGGCCCTGCCTCCCTCCCCATCTTAATGACCCTTGCCATGACTTTGCTTCTCTATTAGGTGAAAAAGTCTCAGTATAGTGTTATTTCATTTCTCCAGTTATGAGTGAGGCTCAGTCTAATATCCGTTTGCACTTGTTTACATATGACCTATGAGAAGAGCACGGCAACCCACTCCAGTATTCTTGCCTGGAGAATCCCATGGACAGAGGAGCCTGGTGGGCTATAGTCCACAGGGTCGCAAAGCGTAGGACACGACTGAAGCAACTTAGCACACACGCATGCATATATGAACCTTTCGTATACATTTTTTTCTATTGGATTGTTAACTTTTTTAAAACAAATTGTAGGTGACCTTCAGTTCAGTCAGTTCAGTCACTCAGTCGTGTCTGACTCTTTGCAACTCCATGAATCACAGCCTGCCAGGCCTCCCTGTCCATCACCAACTCCCGGAGTTTACCCAAACCCATGTCCATCAAGTCGGTGATACCATCCAGCCATCTCATCCTCTGTCATCCCCTTCTCCTCCTGCCCCCAATCCCTCCCAGCATCAGGGTCTTTTCCAGTGGGTCAGCTCTACACATCAGGTGGCTAAAGTACTGGAGTTTCAGCTTCAGCATCAGTCCTTCCAATGAACACCCAGGACTGATCTCCTTTAGGATGGACTGGTTGGATCTCCTTGAAGTCCAAGGGACTCTCAAGAGTCTTCTCCAACACCAGAGTTCAAAAGCATCAATTCTTCAGTGCTCAGCTTTCTTCACCGTCTAAATCTCACATCCATACATGACCACTGGAAAAACCATAGCCTTGACTAGACGATGATCTTCACCTACTAGGAAAATGAGCCTCTGTCTGTGACATGAATTACAAATATTTTCCCTAATTTTTCATTTGTCTTGTGATTTTTTTGCCTGTTAAAAATATTTGATTTTATTGTGGTTCAATTACTTAATCTCTTTTTTTATACCTTCTAGGTTTGGTTTCATACTTAGAAAGACCTTCCACATCCCAAGATTCAGGGGAAAAGATACTAGTTTTATGTTAAATAATTTTTCAGTCTTTCTATAATTTAAATCTTTGGTTCATCTGGTATTTATTTGGGTGGGAGGTGTGAAGCAAGAGTCCCATTTTATTAATTTATTTTTAAAAGAGTGCTACCCAGAGTCCCAATATTGTGCTAAGTAATAACTAGCCAGAGAACTACAATGATGTAATCATTCACCTAGAACCAGACATTCTGGAATGCAAAGTCAAGTGGGCCTTGGGAAGCATCATTATGAACAAAGCTAGTGGAGGTGATGGAATTCCAGCTGAGCTATTTCAAATCCTTAAAGATGATGCTGTGAAAGTGTTACACTCAATATGCCAGCAAATTTGGAAAACTCAGCAGTGGCCACAAGACTGGAAAAGGTCAATTTTCATTCCAATCCCAAAGAAAGACAATGTCAAAAAATATTCAAATGCAACTACCACACAGTTGCACTCATTTCACATGCTAGCAAGGTAATGCTAAAAATCCTTCAAGCTAGGTTTCAGCAGTACATGAACCAAGAACTTCCAGATTTTCAAGCTGGATTTAGAAAAGGCAGAGAAATCAAAGATGAAGTTGCCAACATCTGCTGGATCATAGAGAAAGAAAGGAAATTCCAGAAAAATGTCTACTTCTGCTTCATTGATTACACTAAAGCCTTTGACTATGTGAATCACAGCAAACTGTGGAAAATTCTTAAAGAGATAGAAATACCAGACCACCTTACCTGTCTTCTGAGAAACCTGTATGCAGATCAAGATGCAACAGTTAGAACCAAATATGGAACAATGGATTGGTTCAAAATTGGGAAAGGAATATGATAAGGCTATATATTGTCATCCTGCTTATTTAACTTGTATGCAGAGTACATCATGCAAAATGCTGGACTGAATGAATCACAAGCTGGAATCAAGATTGCTGAGAGAAATATAAACAACTTCAGATATGCAGATGATACCACTCTAATGGCAGAATGCAAAGAGGAAGTAAAGAGCCTCTTGACGACGGTGAAAGAGGAGAGTGAAAACGCTGATCTAAAATTCAGCATTCAAAAACTAAGATCATGGCATCTGATCCCATTACTTCATGGCAAACAGATGGAGGAAAAGTGGAAGCAGTGACAGATTTTATTCTCTTGGGCTGAAAAATCACTGCAGATCATGACTGCAGCCAAGAAATTAAAAGATGCTTGCTCCTTGAAAGGACAGCTTGACAAACCTAGATAGCATATTAAAAAGCAGAGACATCACTTGCTGACAAAGGTCCATCTAGTCAAAGCTACGGTTTTTCCAGAAGTCATGTACAGATGTGAGAGCTGGACCATAAAGAAGGCTAAGCACCAAAGAATTGATACTTTCAAATTGTGGTTCTGGAGAAGACTTTTGAGAGTCCCTTGAACAGCAAGGACACCAAACCAACCAATCCTAAGATAAATCAACTCTGAATATTCATTGGAAAGACTGATGTTGAGGCTGAAGCTCCAATACTTTGGTCACCTGACTCAAACAGCAGACTCATTGGAAAAGACCCTGATGCTGGGAAGGATTGAAGGCAGGAGGAGAAGGGGTCGATAGAGGATGAGATGGTTGGATGACATTATCAAATCAGTGAACATGAGTTTGAGCATATTTCAGGAGATGCTGAAGGACAGGGAAGCCTGGCGTGCTGCAGTCCCTGGGGTCACAAAGAGTCGGACATGACTTAGAGACTGAACAGCAACAGTCTGCCTTTATCATGTAATAAATTGCAGTGTAGGTTATTTCTGGGTGCTCTCTTCTATACCAGTGATAACTCCTATCCAGAAACAAGCACCATCTAACAGTACAATTTAAAACCTATTAGTGTTAGATTGCACTTATTTTTTCATCTATTCCTGCTAATTTTTCAATATAACTTTTTACTTACCCAATGTGTTCTATTGGGATTGTTGCTGTTAGTCGCTCAGTCGTGTCCAACTCCTTGCAACCCCATGGACTGTGGCCCACTAGGCTCCTCTGTCCACGGGATTCTCCAGGCAAGAATAATGGAGTGGGTTGCTATTTCCTTCTCCAGGGATCGTTGCTAACATTGTACTAAATGTACAGGACAGTTTAGGAAGAAGTGATCCTTGACGAGTCCTCCAAGTAGATACTCTTTTCTATTTTTCAATTCTTCTGTTTCCCACACTATTTCAAATTTTCAATCAGATAGACTTTGAGATTTTCCTAATTTATTTTTAAAGTTTGTCTTGATATTTTCATGTGAATGGTTGCAACTGCAAATCAGCTCTTTAACAATTCTAACTGGATATTTTTAGTATATGTGAACAGCATCAATTCCTACATATTTTATTATTATTAACCACTTCACAAAATTCTCTTATCTGCAATAAATTTTCAATCAATTTTCTTGGATTTATCAAGTAAACAATTGAGCTTCTGCAAATGGCAATAATTTTAACTTTTTCCAATTTTCAGAAGTTGTTTTCTTGTCTCATTTAATTGTATTAGCTGGTGGCTCCAGCAGAATATTAAATAATAGTGATGATAATTGTTTTCCAAACTCATTTTGTTCCTGCCTTAATGGGAAAGCTTCTTGTGTTTCCCTATTACACACAGAGCCACAGGCTTGAAACCTGTGTTCTGACACTAACAGAATACGTATCCAATCCCACAATAAAGGAGAAATAGAATCACAAAAGTGTTTAAAATCATGTAAGGAAGTTATTACACATCATATAGATGTTATACATATTATAAAGATCTTTCAACAGGCGCTTTTTTACCACCTATGAAGATTTGAAGTCATTTTTCCCTTTTTTAAGTTTTTCTCCGAAAGAGCAACCTTTGATGATATTTACTGACTTTCTGTTTTGAAATTTGTTTATTACTATTGTTATCTTCAATTGATTCCTTTTGCTTTCCTAAAATTTGTGTAATTGCTAATTTTTCCAAACTTTACGTTGAGTACTTAATTTATTTTAATTTTTCTTATTTATTTTATGGTATAATTATTTAAGATTATAAATTTTCCTCTGAACACTGCTGTAGTTCTAACCCATCACTTTCACCATATTTTATGATCATTATTTCCAAGAGTTTCTGAGATTTCAGTTTTTATTCTCTTTTTTATCTGAAAGGTGAACGTGAAAGTTGCTCAGCCATGTCTGACTCTTTGCATCCCCATGAACTGTACAGGGAATGGAATTCTCCAGGCAAGTGTACTAGAGTGGGTAGCCATTCCCTTCTCCAGGGAATCTTGCTAACCCAGGGATCGAGCCCAGGTCTCCCACATTGCAGGCAGATTCTTTACCAGCTGAGCCACCGGGGAAGCCCCTTCTTTATCTGAGTTTCTTTTAATCATTTTCAACTGTTTTTTTAATTTTAATTTTTCAGTTAGTGAGATTTTTATTTGTCTATCTTACCTTATGACTTTTGTGGATAATATGAGTGATGATTTTGTGGTTAACGTCTAGCTTTAATGCATTATGACCAGAGTATGTACTCTGAACTGTCTCTATATATACATGTTCTACCAGGTGTGAGGTAGTATTTCATTGTGGGTTTGATTTACATTTCCCCGATGATCAGAGATGTTAAGTCCCTTTTCATTTATCTGTTGGCCATTTGTATATCATCTCTGAAGAAAATTTGCTAAGTTCTTTTGTTTATTTTTCAATTGGCTTATTTGGGTTTGTTGGGGGGTGGGGAGTTGTTGCTATTGAGTTGTAGGTATTCCTTATACATTTGGGGGTATTAGCCCCTTATGAGATGCATAGTTTGCAAATGTAATATTTTCTCCTGTTTCAATGATTGCTTTTTCATTTCATCAACTGCTTCCTTTGCTGTGAGGAGCCTTCTAGTTTGATGTAATCCCTCTTGTTTATTGTAGCCTTTGTTGTTTGTGCTTTTGGTATTATACCCAAAAAACCATTGCCAAGACCAATTATGACACTATTTTCTGATGAATATTCTTCATTGGCCATTTTTAAACTTTCTTCCTTTTTATAATCTTTTTAAAATATAACCGGTGCTAACGTGTGTGTCTGTGCTCAGTTGTGTCCGACTCTTTGCGACCCCATGGACTGTAGCTGCCAGGCTCCTCTGTCCATGGGATTCTCTGGGCAAGAGTACTGGGGCGGGTTGCCATGTCCTCCTCTAAGGGATCTTCCTGACCCAGGGATCAAAGCTGTATCTCCTGCATCTCCTGCATGGCTGGCGGATTTTTCATCACTGAGCCGTCTGGGAAGCCCTACCCAGTGCTGCTTCTGTTCATTTGCAGAAAATGTCTGCAGATGAAGGGCCAAGGCTACATTGCCAATTAACGGCAATTCTGGTGTGAGGCTGTGGGTTTGAGTGTGTTCCTGTAGCTCTTGTGGCTCACAGGCTTGCGGTTAAGGGGCTACTCAGGCTATAGAGCAGCCCCCCTGATTCTAACTCATCAGCAGACAGCTTCCTACCAGAGTGGTGTATATGAGTCCTGTCCAACACTACTTTTCAGGCCTCGTCCAGACCATCCTAGTCCAGAGAAAGTCAGCAGCAACCCATACACCTGTCTCTTATGGTTCCAAACTGATCACCTTGCCAGGTGAGCTCTGCTCTACTGGGCTCGCTGCCATACAGAAGCAACAAAATGATGATAAGTACATGCCTGCCAATAATTACTTTTCGTTATCCACACTGACCGAATGTTGCGATGTTGACCTGATATTTTCCCCACTGAATACCTGAGCTCCACTCTGTCTCTGGTCACCAGGACATCGAGGCGGGCAACATCCACCATCTAGTTCAGTTAAGTCTCAGTTGTGTCCAACTCTTTGCGACCCCATGGACGACAGCACGCCAGGCCTCTTTGTCCATCACCAACTCCCAGAGCTTACCAAACTCATGTCCATCGAGCCAGTGATGCCATCCAGCCATCTCATCCTCTGTTGTCCCCTTCTCCTCCTGCCCTCAATCCCTCCCACCATCAGGGGCTTTTCAAATGAGTCAGTTCTTCACATCAGGTGGCCCAAGTATTGGAGCTTCAGCTTCAGCATCAGTCCTTTCAATGAACACTCAGGACTGACTTCTTTACCATCTAAGTTACCCTTTAAACCAAGGAACGGCAGGACCTCCTCACAACGCTGGACTCGCTGGGCTTTTCTCATCCGCATTCTCGTCCTGCAAGGCCCTCTCCCCTCACGGGCCAGCCCAGGCCTCCCCGGCAGTTCTGCTCCTGAAACACCTGGCATCATTTCTCCATCAGCCCTCTCCTCGCACGAGGACACCTAAGTCTGACCTAAACCCAACCGTTTGCACCTGCTGAGTCCCAGCTCCTGGACCATTTGCACCCAGAGTGCAGAATCTGCCCACACAGCTGCGAGGTGCAGGTCTCTGGTGGACGGTGGGGGCCAGCTCGGCTGAGACCCTGCTGCTTGCTCTGTAGGGCTAGGCGACAGGGCGGCTGCTTTTCCAGCTATCTGACCCCAAGGTTCACAAGAGATGACTCTTAACTGGCTTGTGTAAAGCCCTGACCAGGAGGTTGTGCTGGTCCGCTCGGCACCTACGCCTGAGACGTGGGCTCTGCTAACTATTCCAGACAAGAGACCAAGATCTAAGCTCGGGGGGCCAGGCCTTCATCAGGTCACATATTGTCTGGCTTGAGATCAGGTTGAAAAATCAATTTAAAGAGAACAAAAAAGCATGTCTATAATGCTGGGGAAAAAACAGCGGAACAAATTATGGCTTCTCTTTGTGAGCCATCTCTGCCTGGCGAGCCCGCTTCCTCCTGCGGGGTCCCCCCCACAACTTGGCAACCCACTTGTGACGTTTGGCAATCACAGGTTTTCTTTTTCTTTTTTGCTGTTATTAATCTTTCATCATGTAGCATTAGCACACAACATGCCTGACATCCTAAATGTGTTCTACAATTAGTTTCCGAGTGACCACGTTAATAACACTGACATTAGCCGTGTTCATCTGAGGATTATGCTCAGTAACCGCTTGACTCGATCTGGTGTTTGTAATTAGATGGTCTGGATCTTAGTGATGCAGGACCTAGTACCCCAAGGTAAGAATGCAAAGATGCATTTCTTATCTTCAAGACCCCCACAGCCTTTGAAACTCAGTTAAACAGAATTTTACTCTTTTGAATACTATTGAATAGAATATTTTTCTTCTCTGTGAGAAATTTGCAAGACCTAGTTGAGTCGTTGATATACAGGATACGAGTCTAATAAATATTACTTGAAATTGATTATACTATGAATCCACTGGGAGGAACAAGAGAATAATTGTTAATGCATTATTAGCTACTGGCAAAATACTATATTTTACATTTTATTACACAGATTATATATCCCAGCACACGTGGTTCTATTGCATTGTTTATTTGCCAGCTTGGTAGTTATTTTTGAGGGTTTTCCTTTGGTACTACCCTGGATTGCAAAGCTCAGTTAACATTATTTATAAAAAGGATTATAGAATGATGATCTCTGGACAGGCAAAGACAGTCGTTGTGAAATATACTCCGCCCAGTGTCGTTGATCACTGCTTCAAAGCATATTCTGTCTCCAAATAATTTCTCTCCTCAGAAGATAGTGATTTTAAATATCACTTCTGACATCTTCTCACCTTTCACAGATATTCTGATGCAAGGAATCTCCTTTTCTAGGTACCATCCACAAAGAATAGAGGCAAGTATGCAACTCCTGCTCTAGGTGGCCCCAGTAACGAGGGGTGCAGAGGTTTCCCATCTCAGGTTCATGGAGCTGGCAGCATACGGGCAGATGGAGCACAGCACACAGCCTGGGGTGTCAGGGCCCACGTGGGTCCCCACCGCTGCACCCTCTGAGCTCCTCGCTGAAGCGCTGGACCCTCAACTGCAGACCCCGTGACCACAGGCCAGAGGTACCACAGCTTATGCGGCCTCTTCCTCAGAGCTGCCCCTACCTGTTGCCCAGCTGCAGTCATGACCTGGGGCCTATGAGTCATCATTTGATAGCCTCATCATCAGTGGAACCCTCTGATCGTCACCTGGGGACTACGGGTCATCACCTGACACCCAAGTCATCACTGGTACCTACCTGCCATCACTTGATGCCCAGTTGTCATCAGTGTCCCAGGAACCAAAGGCTCCTCATCTCTGAAAGCTTTCTCCCAGGAATGCTCTTCAGGATAAGATTTTGTCAGCAAAAACTGAAAATTTTTAAAACAAAAACCCAGCTTGCTGTGAGCACCTTTTGTGAAAATTCTAGTTGAGCAGAGTCCAAATATACTCTAAAACCCCAAATTCCATACGTTTTACAAATTACTTTTTGTTGTTGTTGACGTGTGTGCTTTTTTTAAAATTATTTTTGCTAAAAATGCATGTGGTTCCCTCTGTAGGGTTTTTCTAAATCTTGTTCCCTTCAGCTGCCAGAAATTAAAACAAAAAGACTGTATGACGCTCTTGTTCTGACTCCTGAGGTTTCAAAAAGGAAACTATTGTTAACTGCAAATTACACTGAATAACTCACTTGGTGTGGGTTTTTCACTCAATTCTAATTATTAATAATTACCCTAAAGTTTTGGAGCTGGGTGTAAAAGGCACAGCCTTGATCCTGCTCACCAAAAGAGCAGGGCCCCCTTCCTCTCCAAACCCTGGTGGACCTTCCTGAGAAAGAGAAGGGGACAGAGCGTTTATGGGCCTTGTTTTATGAAATGAACACATTCATGGGTCATTGCGTCAACTCCATCTTCCTGTTAATGAACCAAAAGAATAAGCAGGACCCAAGCAGTAAATCCTTTGATACAGCAAACTCTCTTCGTATTAATACACAGCTATCCTTTAACTTATCTGGAGAGTTTTAATCATGTTTTTGTGTATCGGATTTTAGTTAAGTAGGACAGCTCCATAATTAAATGAGAATATTTAGGCAGGAAGAGCCAAGGAATGTGACTTGCAGGCCAGGGGCCCCCTGGGCTTTGCACTGTGGTACCTGGAGCGCCTGGACACAGCTGGCTATCCCGAGGCTCACCTGCACCATCCAGAACTTCAGGCTGGTCTGGAGGCCAACTCAGCCCAGCATCCCACTGTGACCAAACCAAAGGCCAACCTGCCCTGATACCCGTATATTACCCAGCTTTCAGCAACCACAGCTGCTACAAACAAGGACTCATCTTGGTTCAGACTTGGATTCTACAAGAATATAAACAAGGGGGAAGTTACACTAGATGCAGAACATTCAGTTTTTAAGTTATTTTTCCAAAGGGGAGAGGAGATAGGCTTCTATTAACAGAGCTTTGACGTTTCACAGATCTGGGGGTTTTGCTTCGCTTTGGCTTCTTTCTTCATCTTCCTGATTCATTTTTCTGAGTCTATGGATTGAACCAGATAATGGATGTGAGAACCCAAGCAGTGACCGCAGAGCTCAGCAAGTCATGGCCAGGAAAGCAGTGGCCACGAGTCGCGGTGTGTTTGAGCGTGACAACGACACCACCATGCCAGCGACGTGCTCGGAGACCCGAGGGGCAGCTGGCGAGAAATCCAGCTCTGAAGACCTGCTCCTTCTGCGGGCAGCGTTTCAGGGAGAGGCAGTGAGAATCGGTAGAACCGGACTTTGCGAAATTCGTGGTGGGCAAGGCCTGCAGAACATTCTGCTCCCAGCCCCATCAGGATGCGGGGCTGCCAGCTCTTTGCTTGCCCTCCCACTGCTGCCACGCTGTCTGTAACTGACTTAGAATTTTTCCCCTAATATAATTCTTTATGAAACCTGCCTTGAGCAATGGATCCGTGATTGCTCACCGAGGGTCGGGCCTCATTTGTTCCTGTAGATTGTGCCTAATTAACGCTAACTTGTCTGTACATAAAAAGTACAATGGGCTGTCCTTCCCAATTTAATTCCGACAGTTTAATCGAATCTGTATTCTTTCAAAAATAATTAGATCATTTACACTTCATTAACATGTAATGTAATGTTAAGACATTCATCATAATGATTTCTTATTTTTCTTGTGCAATATTATCTCCTCTAATGAAACTGTTAACACCATGCATGCCTTAATTAGCTGTATCATATCACTGATGATTTCTGAAGAAAGCCATGTTTTTACACATGAAATTGAATTATCTCAGTAGGTATATTTTCAGCAGAATCTGTCTGTTCTTGTTGAGAAACACCTTCTGGCTGCCCAGCCGCAGCTCCACAGGCACCTTCAGGTGGCTCCACCTGGGCCTGCGAAGCAGGAAGGGCGGGCACGTCCTCACCGGGACCTGGGGAGCAGAACCCACGCCCAGGGGAGTCACACACCGGCGGCTGGTGGGCACGGGCAGCAGGTCTCTCCCAGCCCTGCGGAGACATGCATGGTTCAGGCAAAAAGTGAAGCCACAGGTTCACCTGGCTCAGGTGTAAGACCACCTAGCAGGCCGTGACCCCCTCCACCATGCACTTCCTTACCCCAGGTACAGCAGAGTCTTCAGATCCCGGAATAAGTCATGTGGGAAAAGCCCCATCTAATCCCGAGTGGTGCTCTCACCTGGGGCTGGCCCCACAGGACAGGTGAGTGGGCAGGAAGGGCCCCTAACCCTAAGCCCTAGTCCCACCAGGAGGTAGCTGCTGCCTGCCTCCTTTAACCTCTCTGCATCTCAGTTTGTTCGTGTGTGAACAGGTGTTACAGTGTCCACGCAGGCCAGGGTAGAGATGCCCATGTCGCCCGACGTCAGGAGGTCCTGCAGCCCCATGACCGGAGCGGGCAGAGCCACACCTGAGTCACACCCACCACACCCATGTCACACCCGTCACATCCCTGGTCACATCCATGTCACACCCCTCACACCTGCGTCACACCCCTGTCACAGAGCAGGAATTCCGAGGCCTCCTGGTGTGCTGCCCCCTCGCCTGTCAGAGTCTAGAGCCAGACCACCAGGTGGGAACAAAAAAACCATAGCCGGGAAAACTCTGATCTTTGACCGGAAGATGAATTACTACATGCCGTCTGCACTGCTCTGAGACTGGCCTGGAAAAAGCGAGACGTGGCTGTGTGACCTGGGTGGGAGCCATCCCGGGATCTGCGGTGGGGGCCACCCCGGGGTCTTCGGACAGGGTCACCCCAGGGTCTGCAGACCGGCTCTCCTCCTAAGCCAGAGCTCCCAGCCCCCATCTGGCTGTCACCTGCAAGGGATCTAAAAGCATGAAAGCCGGGAAACCAAAGCCCAGGTGGAATAATACAGGAACCCCTGAGACAACGTGGTAACCCTAAGCCATCTTCTCTGTGGAGAGAAACTGCTCTCCCTGCCGGGCAGCCGCCTGACTGCACTGTCTCCCACCGGTGCCTGGAATTTGCCCCGGAGTCTTCGGCCCAGGGGTGGACCCGCCAGACGCACCTACGATGAAGAACGCCTTTGCTGCGGGGCACTGCTTCTGGACCTCATTCAAGTTGCTCTATCTTCTGCCCACCATCAGATAAACAAAAAACACACATAGAGGTTTATTTGGGCAAAGGAAGCAGAAAACAATGTGGAGTTCAACATCTGCAGCATCATTTAGGCACCTTTGGTTTACCTTCTCTGCCTGGGCCAGGCGTGAGGAGGAAGCAGGGAGACCACAGGACGGTTCTCAGAGGTAGAAACATCTCCCTGGAACTCCGCGCCCTTTGAAAGCAGCTCAGTGTAATTGTCCTGCAGAACATTTGGAGAATCCAGGCTACTAATTAAGCACTCGTGTGTCAATTAGTTATAATAGCGGTAATAATACACAAACAATGGTATGAAGTTATGCGCTGCTGAGCCTTGCTCCCCGTTTGGTGAGCTTTTCTTCTTGGCAGCTTTGGCTTTGAAGATTTAAGTTAATAATTTGTCCCTAATGAATTTAGCCTTTCTGTTTCTCCAGGACGCAGGGTATTTAAATGACTGAAAGAAACGATGCTATTAACACAATTTCTCTTTAGAGAAAACTTTCACCCCCAAGAACAATATTTTCATACGGTTGTTTCTACGCTCAGCCTACAGAGGCATGTAGATGAGGTCACCTAGTTGGGCAGACGTCCAACAGAGGTCGGGGTCAGGTGAGAATACACAAGCTTCACTTTTCTCAGGTCGATGATATGACAGCATTTCATAAAGAAGGCTGAGCTCCAAAGAATTGATGCTTTAGAGCTGTGGTGCTTAAGAAGACTCTTGAGAGTCCCTTGGACTGCAAGGAGATCCAACCAGTCCATCCTAAAGGAAATCAGTCCTGACTATTCATTGGAAGGACTGATGCTGAAGCTGAAGCTCCAATGCTTTAGCCACCTGATGCAAAGAACCAGCTCTTTGGAAAAGACCCTGATGCTGGGAAAGATGGAGGGCAGGAGGAGAAGGGGGCAACAGAAGATGAGATGGTTGGATGGCATCACCGACTCAATAGACATGAGTTTGAGCAAACCCAGGGAGATGGTGAAGGACAGGGAAGCCTGGTGTGCTGCAGTCCATGGACTTGCAAAGAGTCGGACACAAGTGAGCAACTAAACAAAAACAACGTGAAAATTAATAGTTCATCTCCTATAAGATCTATAAGCTTATGCAACACACACACAATCTGTGAATAAAAGAAACTCACAATAAAGCAAACTTGTTCATAAAGGTAACTTTTTTTTTGGATGAGAGAAAATGATAAAGGAATGATAAAGTCTATTTACTGAAATAAATTCCAAATAATAAATTTAAAAAACCCTTTCAAGATGCATGTCTAGCCACCCACGCCCCAGACAAAGGTCCTCATAAACAAGAGCCTGGAGCAGGTCCCCTCCCAGCATCATCCTCCTGTGCCCCAGAACCCTTCCTTTCTGTGAAGGCTGGAACCTCTGACTCAAATGTAGCCCACAAACCTTTGTTCTCCACAAACAGAGAAGCACAAAATCCTGAGACCAGACTGGGACCCACCGGACAGGCAGAACGGCCACCTTCAGAGAAAAACCTACTCTGTAGCTTTCAGATACCCACATCACTAGGTCCTTTCCTTCAAGAAGCGTGGTTAGAACAGTAATATCCCCTTTGCATAAATACAACATGTTTATCCACTCATTGGTCAGAAGCTATAGCTCTGAAGCGAGTCTTGTAGGCAGCACAGATAGCTATCTTGTTTTGATCCATTCAGCCACTGTGTGTCTTGTGATTGAAGCACTTGGCCCTTTAACATTTAAAGTAATTATTGATAGGTATGTACTTACTGTCATTTTGTTGTTTTCTAGTGTGTTTTTCTTTCTGTTTTTTTTTTTTTTATCGTTTTCTGTTCCTGTCTTCCTCTCTTGTTCTCTTCCTTTATGATTTGATGACTTTCTTTATTGTTATGTTTTATTCCTTTCTCTTTACTTTCTGTGTATCTATTAGAGGTTTGCGGTTACCATGAAGTTCATATGTAACAACCTATGTATACATAGTAACCTATATACATATACATTTACCTGCACATGTATATAGCAGTCTATAAGCACTGAGGTTCAAGCACATTCTAAAAGCACTACATTTCTACTCTTCCCCCCGTTTTATGTTTTGACATCATGTTGTGTGTACTGCTTAAGTTATTATTTTAGACATCAGTGATTTTACTACATTAGTCTTTTAACCTTTATAATAGTTTTTTTAGGTGGTTGATGCCCTATCTTTATGTTTTAACTTTATTTTTTTGCGTTTACTAGTGAGATTTTCTTTCATATTTTTTTGTTTCTACTTCTGACTTTTCTGTTTAAAGACTCGTCTTTAACACTTCCGGTAAAGAAGGTTTAGACAAGATGAGCTCCTTTAGCTGCTTCTTATCCAGGAAACCCTTTGTCTCTTCTTCAATCCTAAGCACAGCCTTGCTGGGTGGAGTTTCCTCCGTTGGAGGTTTTTCCCTTCCATCACTTTGTGCTCAGCTTCTGCCCACCTGCAAAGCTTCTGCTGAAATATCAGGAGATAATCTAATGGGGCTTCCCTTGTACATAGCCAGTGCTTTTTCTATTGCCGCGTTTAAGATTCTCTTTTCTCTTTAACTTTTTCCATCTTGATCATAACGTGTCTTGGTGTGGCGCTCTTTAGTTAGTTTTGTTTGGGGCTCTGTGCTTCCCGGACATGGGCATCTTGTTTTCTTCCCCAGGGTAGGGGCTTTTTTCAGGCACTTTTTCTTGAAGTAGATTTTCTGTTATTTTCTTTCCCTCTTCTCCTTCCGGGACCCCTTTAACATCAATGTTATGTTGTCCTAGAGGCCCCTTTCACCATCAAGATTTTCTTTTTGCTGTTTCAAGTCAGGTGATCTCTCCCGTCTCGTGGAGGGGGAGGCCAGCGGTGGACGGGGTCCTTGGAGGGGGCAGGAGGGACGGTGCAGCCTCAGGCAACGGCGGCCTTCCAGCCACCGCTCAGCATTCCTGAAGCATTACGTCCTGGCTTTGGCTGAGGCTGGACATTTCACCTCCAAGCACACCTCTTGCTTTCTGCCTCCGAGTGTGGCCCCCACTGGTGCACGGGACCCACTGGTGTTGCAGGGTGGAAGTCAAGTCCGCGCTTTTAATCCAAATGAAGAGACGTCCGTGAGAGAACCACAGATGCACCCATGACAACAGTGAGGGAGAAACAGCAATAGCATGTCTCCTGGGGTCACACAGTTTTGAGAACTTGTTATATTCACCTTTGTGGCTTTCTGTGCTTTTTTTTCTTTAATTTTCAAAATACTGTCACTTGTATGTGAAGAAGAAATTTAAATAGAAAGAGCCTGGGCCTCAGGAAGGAGAGGAAAAGCCCACACTCGGGGACACCCTCGGCCATGCACTTGGCCGCTTGCCTGGGGCCTCCCTGTGTTTCTCAAAGAGTGAGAAGTCCCTGGTCAGCCGAGGGTTTGCCAGGCCTGCTCTGCCAAAGCAGCTTGACCCCAGCAGGAGGCGGGGAACGAGAGCACACACCACCCGCGGTCAGGCCCGGGCTCAGCGGGCTCGGTCTGACCGTTTGCACAGGATGCAGGCCGTCTACCGCCACTCCATCCGAGCCTCTGAGGGGAGCAGAGGGCTCTCCTCCTCCTTGCCCTTTAATCCCTCCCTGAGGCCTCTGTGCAGAGCTCCCCAGGCAGGGGTCCCCAGGACGGCCGGTGGGGGGCGGGAGCCGCTGTGCACAGCCACGGCAGTGCAGCTTTCCCTGTGGGCCCGGGGCAAAGTCTGCAGCGTCGCTCAGGTCAGCAGTGATGGTGCCGGGTTCTGAGCTGGTCAGGCCGCCAGCCATTCTGAACAGACGGGCCGAGCATAGCCCGTCCACGAGAGTCTCCAGCTTCGCCTCCACGTGGAAACAGGCTTCCCGGAGAACATGCTTGATTTTACTTCCAGCACTCACTGTCCTCTCAGAAAGGATGCTTGAGGTCAAGACAGGGAGGGGGTCATGTGGCCACTGTGGGCACCCATGCCTGGAGGCCCAAATGGAGACAGCGCCCTGACCACTGTGCCCTGACCACGCCCACCCTGACCCAGGAAGTGCCCAGTCTCTCTCCGAGGCTACCACCCAGCCCTATATGTGCCCGACTCTAAAGAATCATTCTGGAATGTAAACATGCAGAAGAGAATAATCTAAACTGGTAGGAAAGAAAAGGAAAATCTCGGAATGTGGTGAACATGATAAGATGAAAGACCTGTGACCTGAGGACCTGAACCAGGGCCCCAGGCCTCCCTGCCTTCTCTGCAGGGGACGCTCAGCCCCTCCCATCAAGCTCCCCGCCCGCTCTCTGTCTGGTGCCCAGCTCGCTCCTGTGAAGACAGGCCACGTGCTAGGCAGGGTCCCAGCCCCTCGCGGGTGCCTCTCGCACTGGGAAGCAGGGGTGGCCCTCCGCCCCGAGCCCGCGCCTGTCCCGGGCAGACGTCCAGCCCCGCGCCCAGGCTCTGCGGTGCCATCTGGGATGGCCCTGGGGGCTCGTCCAGCCGTGCCTGTGTTGGGACTGCCCCGCGGGCTAGAGGTGAGGTGCCACCACCCTTGCTTCACCCTCACTCAAACTTGGGGACCCTCCGAGACACCAAGGGGCCACCAGGGCCTGGGAGCAGGCCCACACCAGGTGGGCGCCCCGCAGCGACCCCAGCCACCCCAGAGCAACCAGACTGCGTGGGGGTCCCAGGCTGGGATGGGGGTCTGAGCTCAGGGGCTCCAGGGCAGGAGGAGGGGCCCCCTCAAGGTCACCAGCCCCCACGGGGTCCTCGGGCCCTTGCTGGCCGCCCCTGAGCAGGTGGCCCACCCCGGCGTCCCCCCACACTCGGCCCTGGAGCGCGAACGCTGCGCCGGATGTGGACAGAACCCGAGGCCCAGGTCTCACTGGATACAGTGGCCGTGTCCCCCTGATGACACCCTGCAGCCTCGCAGGTGGTCCTTGCACACAATTGATTTCCCACAGAGTTTTGTCTGAAAGATGCTTCTAGATTACGGCAAGAAAGCACCAGGTAATCCTCCTGCCAATGTCGTTGTGCTAACAGACAGGCCCCTCACAGCTGATTGATAGCACTTCACTGCGAGCGCGTTTCAGCCCAGGCGTGCCCGCCGGCCCCGAGCAAGGCTGACCCCGCGCTCCGCTTATTTGCCAGGCATGGGCCGTTTGCGGGGGAGCCTGTGTGGCGGGGGTGCAGGCAGGCTGCTATGGATTTGCCATCTTAGCCTGAAGTGTGGGCTGCTGACTGTGTGATTAGAGCAATAACCGTTTCTGCAGGGCCCCGTGCTTCCCTGCCGCCTCCCAGCCATGACTGGAGCGGGCCATGAGCTCCAGCACTGGCCTGAGCGCCTCGTTGCAGAGAAAACGCCAAAGCCATGGCAGGTGGCTTCCAGCACTCTTTAGAAAGCAAAATATGATCACAGGTCTCCAGGTAAATAAGAAAGCAGCCTTCGTTGTCAGGAGGGAACGTGACAGGTTGGGGAGCGGGGCTGTCTGATCAATGCGGCTGTTGATTCTGGCTTTACCGGGGGCCATGCTGAGCCTTCGGTCCATACTAAGGAGGTCGACACCCTCTGTCTCCAGGGAAGGGGTTCACATCACAGGATACCGGACTCACTCCTGCACTGGCGGGCTTGCCCCCCGGGCAGCACATGGCCCGGGACCCCACTCCCCACTTCTCCTTGGGCCTCAGACTCCGGGGGGGGGCATGCCACCCACTCCCACACACACACCCAGGAGGGCCGTGTGAGCCCCAGCCCCAGGGACACAGACATTCCCGCTTCTGCCCATTCAGCTCCAGACCATCCCTAGGAAGCTATGTCTCACAGCAAACGGCATCAGAAATGCCGTCCTCCTTTCTCACGCATCAGCCTGCACGCAGCTCTGCTCTGGGGGGCTTCCCTCCCATCCGCCTGCCCCTCCCGCCTCCCAGGTAGCTAAACAGCTCCACTTCGTAGCAAGTTCATCCCACTCAGCTCCCAGCAGGATGATCTGGGACAATTCAATCTCCCAGCAGAAATCGCTGGGGCACCAACAGATCTTTAAAAATCAGAACATCTGGTCAGTCACCTTCTCCCATCTGGGTAAACAGAGCTGAGCTAATAAGGCCACGATAGGAAGTCGGTGGCGGCAGGTAGTTTTAACAGTTACGGGATGGAGCTGCATGAACCTGTTGGCCCCAGGAAGGCAGTGGGGCAGTGGGAAACTGTGCAAATCAGTTCTTTTAAACCTCAGATCGCTTGTGGGCATGTTAAACATCACCTTAAGAAAGTGAGATCCCAGGGACGGTGCTCCCCATGTGTAAAAGGCAAGGTTCCTGCATTGAACGACAATTTAGCATTTATTAGGCTTATGCAATCGTGATTGTAATTATTGTTTATCTATAGGGAATTGAGTTTTAAAAGTACTATTGAAAGTGTTAGTCACTCAGTCACGTCTGACTTTTGTGACCCCATAGACTGTAGCCCACCAAGCTCCTCTGTCCATGGAATTCTCCAGGCAAGAATACTGAAGTGGGCTGCCATACTCTTCTCCAGGGGATCTTCCCGACTCAGGGATCGAGCCCAGGTCTCCCACACTGCAGGCGGATTCTTTACCAGCTGAGCCTGCAAAAGGGGACAAGAGGAGGAGATGCTTCCATGTTCACAAGCTGAGGCCAGCCCTAGGCTCCCAAGATGGGGTCAGGTACTGTCTGGCGCTCCTGGCAGGAGGCTGGTTGCTGGGGGGCAAACAAGCCCTCCTTCCAGCGCCCTCAAGATGCTGGGCTCCGGCTCACTGGGGTCTTTACCGTTTCCATATGAGCCACATCCCCAGCCAGCGCTCACGGGGAGCGACCGCAGAGTCCCCCGGCCAGGGGCGGCACAGAAGAGGACACCCGTCTACAGAGTTAGAGCCGGGTGATCCCTCTGCCTCTCCAAACAGTGCAGAAGACCCACCCAACTCAGCCTGCTAGAATGTCTCCGCATCTTCCTCTCCTCCCTTTCTCCCTGGTGCACGTTGACCCCACACAGCTTGGAGGACAGCTTTAAATCCTGAGTGACGCTAACTGGGGCTGCTGGGCTTTGGAACTGTGTCCATGCACAGAGATAACACAGACATGGCTTCCTAGCGACACTCACAGGGCCATGCCTACCTGACACCCTGCAAGAGTTTAAAAACCAAAGACAAAATTAGAAATGATGCGTGCTGGGCAAAGGCAACAGGGTCCTGAAGACCAGGTGACACTGGCCTTGACCAGCCTCAGACCCTCCCTGCCCCAGGCCTCATACGTCTGCCCACCCTCCGCAGGGCAGCCCCGACCCCGCCTCCTGGGTCCCCAGCTCCTCTGAGGCCAGGACCCCCACGGGCCACAACATGCCCTCCCATGCACACCTCTAAGGAGGGGCCTTGCTGCCTGTCAGCTGCGTCTGTGGCAAACCAATGATAAGGCTTGCATTTGAGAAAATAAATAAAGACACAACAACAAAAACAACTGCCTCTTGTTCTGGGAGAACCATTTGGTCCATGTCATACTCACTACTGTGTTTAGATTTTCTCCAGCACATAGGTTCTAGTATAATTTATTTTAGAAGCCAAAAAGCACACTACTTGGCAATTTTATCACTCCAGGTGTAATTTTTTTAAAAAAGTCTTCCATTATTGTATGTCATTTGGTTAAGTCTCTGCCAGCCAGCTCCACAATAAGTAACTACAACCAGAATTAGTGATCACGTTTTTTTTTTTCCCCTCAGAGTTAATTGAAACTGATGTGTTTTGAAATCATAGTGAGGGTTTCTTGAGAGGAGTGCTGTGTGTTATTCAATCGGGGCGCACAAAGCCGGCCGGGGCCAGCACGACTCACTCCCCAGGACTGGCTCCTTTGGCACTGGTGGGCCCCTCACAGCAGCCTCTCCCAGTGGATAAATATTTAAATTACATGTGTGTCGACGAACAGAGCGGCCTGAAAGGAACCTGCTCTTTCTCCTCCTGCCATCCGCTGTGAGTTCTGAATACAGCTCCAGGTCAGCGGAGACGCCCTCTCCCAAATCGCAGAGCCGCTGACCGCTCGGGGCAGACCTGCCCTTCTTCTTCGCCCTGGGACTGATGTTGACAGGCTTCGAGGGGCATTTCCAATTAACAGCACCGTCGTCTTGGAGCCCAGCTTTGCACAGGTTCACTGCTAAGAAGTAAACATCGGACTGCTCGGCGGTAATTCATGACAGAGGCAGGGAAGTGCAGAGTCGTGGTGGAGGCTGGTTCCAACCAGGTCCACTCTAGAATTCCACACCAGCTGCACCCATACATTCTTAGCAATTAACATAAAATTCTTATTTTATTCTCATTCCTCCAGCCCTTTCATTGCTTCTAGAGTTTCTTTGCGACACATGACGTATATCCATACTGCAAAATCCTAGGGTATGCCCCCAGATCCCTCATGGCTCTGCTATTTGAATTGAACGGAGTGGTGCCCCAGTGGGTTCATGTGAGGATGTTCGAGTGTGTTAATCATGGCAATGGCCAGGTTGGGTTTGCAGCCCCGCACAGGTAAGCAGCTTATCTGGTGAGCAGGTGGTCCTCGTGGTGCTGAGCTCCAGACAGTGCACGTCTGGGAGAAGAGACTCGGTTCTTAGCGTGACTACAAGTGCCCACAGAGCTGAGGAGCCTCGGAGGAATGTGGGGCACCCTATTGGGGGCACATCTCAGCAGATTCTGGATATTTGATGGAGAAGACCCACCGTTGGCCTGAAGTTCCCAACGGGCCGGGTTTAGCTGACATGATCTGCAATGTGCTTAGGAGGTGGTTCTGGGACCCAGGGTCAGAATGAAGAACCCTCAAGCCTTCGCTGCATCCACAGAACAAGTACAATTCTCAAAAGCTTGTCACCACCTTGTAAAAACCTTGTTTAGGTTGCAGAATTCGTCCTCCCGTCTTCATGGACGAGGCTGATGTTAGAACAAGGATAAAG